GATAGGCTCTAAGGAAGTTGAAACATGGGACAACCATGATCAAAGAAGACGGTTTTCTGAACAGCTCACCTGATAGTTGGGGGATAGAGAGCAAGCCAGGAATACACTCGAATGATTTGTTGAATATCCATTGAACACCCGCAGTAACAAATAACTTCTGAGTTACTGGAATTTATTTGCAGCATCGCCAGCGTCGCCCTGTGTCAACTTACTTGTAAGCCTGCTGAGACCGCCTGCAAGGCGTAGCCGCCTGCTCAGGAGGGCATCCGCCGACAAGGATACACGTCGGAGGAGGACCATTATACGTTCAAGTCAACTCCATCAGCGTGGGGAGAGTTCACGAAAGCAAATAGAAACTATCACTGGGGCATATGGGCCTTCTTATCCCTTAATCAAATCCGAGTCAGGGGCGTCACAGTCTCTGTACAGAAATTTGTACAAAAGATTACTTTGGGGATTTGGTCTCTTTGATTTGTACAACCCACACCAAGCTCACTTGTTGTTTGATCGATATATCAATCTAGCAAGTGATAGCGAGTCTCGGTTGTCCATGGGAGGTCATCCCAAAGTTATTCCTTGCTCCTCGGATGATGCTAAATTCCCAGCCTGATCAGGTTGGCACCATCATGGTGATGCTTAGCCAACCGAGGGAGCAGAATGAAAATAGATGACTCGCTGTACTACCTATCTCATCTCATTCCTTGGCCAGAATCCGGTTGCACGATCTTGGGGCGCGACGTGCAGGCACCGTCACACAGCTCATGCGACTAGTTGAAGCTGTGCTAAGCTTTGAGATATGTCTGTTTCCCGTCTGCCTCAGTGGACGCCTCCTCAGCCATCGTACTACCGCCGCAGGGTCAATCACGCCACGAACTTACCCCTGGGATGGTGTCGTCGAATGGGGAAGCGCCAAAGACAGTCTTACGGCAATCAATGACGAGACCTGTCTCTCAAAATCCCAGCTGAATAGCTGGCGTGGCCCGGCAAGGCTTTTTTTGGCGCCCCAGACGGCACGCTGTACAACGTTCGAAAAACAAGACTTCAATACGGTAGGGATACATATTTAGCGTTCGGTCCGAGTTCACCTGGAATGTTTGTAGAACGCTCTGCCAAGGGATTGTTGTGAAATACCACGGGGCCGGCACAAGATTGACTCCCAGGGCTCCCAGGGGAGTTTCTGCATTCCACGCCCGCAAATGCCGGAAAATCTTAGACATTACGGCGCTCATATTGCCGACATCATCCGGCAATACCACGGTAACCCTTTCCTCACGAGGCTCAAGGTGGCGCATCCGAGTAAGACAATGTCTTACCCAGGAAAACGGCACAAGTGCTGATAGCGCGGTGTGTTCCAGACCGCGAATGACAGTAATGACCCAGTTCTACGGCCCGAGGCCGCGTCGACATATGACAGGATATGTCAGATCCTGACGCGGCATACGCCCTTTTGAGAACGAATGTCCGGCTGAAGATGATGAGTTTTAGTGAATTTGAAGTTGCTGTAGACTCCATTCGAATTTGGATGTGCAGTTGAGAAAATGGCATTTCCGGTGCTTTACGCTTTGTTCAAGGGACTTAAAGTGGTTAAGGTTCGTTTCCGAGAAACATCGCACTCCATTCTGAGCCCTTCGTGCAACAATAACACGAACTGCCTCTCTTTACGCGACTGAATTCTGATGTCTCTTGGTGCCAACCGGCATAGTCCGAGCCAAGCCAAGGACTTTTCTGTCCAACCATCTCTCTTCGCCCTTCGCAAGGAGAGGTAGGGCTAGATGATGATGATCGGGAGCTAACGTCCGCAAGTAGACACTCGGACAACAGGACAGAAGCGAAGCATCGCCTACTACTAGGCACAGATGAGGCATGAAGAGGATATTGCTGCATTCTTCGAGGTGGTTCCGTTTTTCAGGGGCGACTGTGGCATCGAAAAGCTTCAGAGAGCATTTTCAGTCTTCTATTTCCAGACAATGTCAACACGATGGCAAACGAAATCCGAGATAAAAAGACGGCAATATTGCCTCCTCAGACGACTTTCTTTTCACTCTCATCATCACAATAATCACGACATTCTTTCCTTGCCCTTGGGCCACATTCATTCTTTCAGTTTGACCTCATTTCTCTCGCTAACCGCCAGAGGTCTAGTCACTCTTTAGTAATCGCTCTTGTCACTCTCTTCGCAATGGCGCTCCGCTCTATCGCGGCCGTTGCCCTCCTGGCCCAAGGATCTGCGGCTCAGGTTCTCGGGCTCCCGCTCCCCACTCTTCCCATTAACGTCGGCCTTACCACAACGATTGCAGGCGTGGGCGTCGGTGCCAATGTCGGCAACACTGTCAGTGTCAGCATCGGTCTCGGCGGTGTTGCCACCGTTGTTGCTGGCGTGGGATCCACAATTGCCGCCTCTGTTGGTGCTGCCGGAGCCACCGTCACTGCTGGTGTCAACTCAGGAGGTGTCGCAGCCTCAGTCGGTGCTGGCGGCCTCCCGGTCACCGTCGGAGCGGGAACTAACGGAGTCGGTGTCGGTATTGGCGGTGTTGCCACCGTCGGCATCGGTGGTGGTGGTGTCAGCGTTGCTCTCCCCATCGCAACCCTCGTTCTCAACCCCGTGGGCGTTGTCTCAACCCTTCCCGGAGGAGGTGTCACGACTGTTTTCCCGTCTACAACAGTCAGCTCTGTTGCCTCAAGTGTCACCTCAACTCTGGCCGTAGCCACCTCGTCCTCAACGGCCGCAGGCAGCACTGGTGCTTCCACTGTCTCCTCCGCCACTACTGGAATCACCAGCGTGCCCTCCGTCTCCACCAGCGTTGGATCTGCTACGACCTCTGTTGGCACCACCAGCATCGCCTCATCCTTCACCTCGACTGTCGTATCTACCTCCAGCTTCGTCAGTGGTAGCAGCACCATCGTGACTACCCTCTCAAGCGTCACCTCGGGCGTTACCAGTGTCCCTTCGGTCACCACGAGCATCGGATCAGGCACCTCTTCGGTCATCACCACTAGCGTTGCTTCTTCCTTCACATCCACGCTCGTTTCCACCTCGAGCTTCACCAGCGATGGCAGCACCTTTGTCACAACCATCAGCTCTACGTCCGAGGGCGTCACCAGCGTTCCCACCACGTCCACCATTGACACGCAGATTTCTTCCTCCAGCTCAACCTCCACCTCCACCTCCAGTGCTGCTGCGTCCTCCAGCGCGTCTGTCAACCCTCTGACTGTCGGTGATGCGAGCTACTTGGGCTGCTTCCGCTCTCCCACAAGCTTCCCGACCTTTGTTCTCACTCAGTCTGCTGCGTCCATGACAATCGAGCGTTGCATTGCTGCTTGCCCATCCAGCAAGTACGTCGGTCTCTTCGCCAATGATTGCTTCTGTGGCTCAACTGTGGACTCTGTCAACGAGATCTCCGTTCCTGATGACCAGTGCAACATTCCCTGCGGTGGCAACAGCGCTGAGCGTTGCGGTGGCCAGGTCGGACTGACCAGACGTCAACTCATTGGCCTCAACGTCCGCTTCACCATCTACATCCGCCTCGGACTGGCTGGTGGAACCACCGCGTCTGCGACTGTTACTACTTCTTTCACAACCACGACTACTGGAACCGTCACTTCTTGCCCTCCTGGAGTCTCGACCTGCGCCATCGGATCTCTCACCACCGGCGTTACCACTGTCACAACCACCTACTGCCCTACTGAGACTCCCGCGCCCAACCCCTGCAGCAACGGACAGTGCTACGGCCAGCCGTGCTACGGCGATGACTGCTACAAGAAGCTCGTTTGCTACGGTGACTACGTCAGCTTCGACTACCCCTGCTACGGTGATGAGTGCCGCCGTCGCCTCGTGTGCGTGGACGGACTCTGCCACCCAGAGACTTGCAGCGGATACGACTGCGGCCGCAAGATCATCTGCAAGAGTGGACTCTGCGGATACTCTCAGTGCCAGGGAGACGAGTGCATCAAGGAGAAGATCACCTGCTACGGCAACGCCTGCAAGATCGAGACCTGCTCAGGAGACGAGTGCTACAAGAAGTACGTCTGCACTGGCGACATGTGCGAGCACGAGACCTGCCCGTACACCGACGTCAACAAGAAGTACGAGTGCACCGACGACAAGTGCAAGGTCGTCACGCCTTGCAACGGTGACTGCCCCAAGCCCCAGCCGCCGAGCACCCTTCCGTACCCCACCGGCACCGCCCCGGCCATTCCTCCCGCCAGCCCTCCAGCGAACCCCCCGGCTGTGCCTACGGCTACTCCCCCTGTCGGACAGCCTCCTTTGAACCCTTCCGTGTCGGTCTCGCCTCCCGTCAACTCTGCTCAGCCCCCTGTTGGTGCACCTCCTTCAGGAGCACCTCCTTCCGGTCCTGCAGTTACACCCCCGGCCGGTCAGCCTCCTTTGAACCCTTCTGTGTCGGTCTCGCCTCCCGTCAACTCTGCTCAGCCCCCTGCTGGTCAGCCCCCTGCCAACCCTCCCGCAGGTCAGCCCTCCGTCAACCCCACGGCACCCGGCGGTGGTGTTCCCACAGGAGGCGCCAAGCCCCCTGTTGTTACCGTTGCCGGTTCCAGCAGATCATCTGTTCCGTTCAGCTTCATCGGCATGGCTCTGGGCGCGGTTGCTGGAGTCGTCTTCCTGTTGTAAGAGAACTCGGTGATCAAAAGACTCTTCTTCTCATGTACTGGTTCTTCAAATAGAGGAGCTTGCTTATTCACTTCTTCCAACGGGCTCTACATATGGGTTGCGTTTCTTACAATATCGGGTTCATGGTTGACTTCAGGTCTAGCTAGGAAGGTGACCGTTTCCAGACGGTTGTAGTAATTGTCCTTGGTCTATTCCATTGCTTCAAGCTCGGGTGTTCGTTGTGAATTTATATTAATCTGGGATCTGATGACTGAGATATGATGGAATTCAACGCTTTTGCAAACCACCTCCGTACCGTTCCCGTGACTCTAACTACCTTTAACCTCCATCCTCTATAATCGACTATGACGATACCTGTAATATCTAAAAGTACTCAATCTTGAGCTCCTCGCCCTAGAGCCCGTATCTTTGCGCCCCAGAACCAAAGAACGACGGGGCATGGCAGTCCAACTCCTATGAACACAAATGCCAGCAGACTATTTCCCCAGCCGTATCCGAGCCTGCTAAACAGTTGTGGGGCGAATATGGGGAAAGCGAAACCAAACACGTTGGACAGCATACGTGCTGCCGCGCTTGCCGATGCAGCATGTTTGAATTCATCAATCAAGTAAGCGTTTATTGCAGAACCCGTGATGAACGTTCCGCAAGTAAAGATAGCGGCGCCGACATCCACGAAAGCCCAATGCATGCCCCTCCCTGCCGCCCATCCATACCAGAATAAACCTACGGGGAGGAGAATGACACCAATGATGAGGTAGGGCACTCGAAACTCCGGAGTTGTCTCGCCATTGGATATGTCTCGGAGGCGTCGGAAAATGTAGTCCATGAGTGGACCTCCAGCCTGCGAAGAGATTGTGATGCCGATGGCTAGAGCAATGTAGTTGAGCGTACTTTGGGTTTGTGATTGGCCGTATTTGTCCATCCAAAGGCTGGCAAATGACGAGAGAACGAGCACGTAGAGACCGAAGCTGATTGCCCAAACCCATGATATAATCAGGATGATTGGACGACTGGTTAGGATTATCATCGGTCTGAGAAGATGGATGGATAGTCCCTTGGAAAGCCCCCTGTGGACAACTCCGGTCCCGGGCTGATCGAAGCAACTGCGGCTGCCCGAGAACTGACTTTCAAGTTTGCGCTGAAGCAAGATCGGCGTGTAGGTCTCATGTACCAAGAAGTATGCGATGAAAGTGTTTCCTGCTGAGAATATGGACAATATCCAGAACAGCCACCGCCACTCAATGTGATCCGACACAAGCCCGCCAACGATGGGGCCGAGCGCGGGGCCAAAGTAAGGGATGAACGATGCTATTGCAAGAGATTTACCACGGTCTTTGGCCCGGTACATGTCAGCCATGATGGGACCTGTCAACTATCAACCATCGTCAGTTCATGCCTATGTGGGAATTAGTGACAATGTAATCGGGGTTCAAATACCACTACACCAGCACTGGCTCCGCAACCGGAAAGGAACCTTCCGGCAATCATCAACGGCGCACTCTTTCCGACGGGACAGAGTGCATTCCAAAGCTGATAGAAGCAACACGAAACGATCCAGATAGGCTTTCTCCCATACATCTCAGACAAAGCCGCGATCAGGAAAGGGGCAAATGCTTGGCCCAAAACGAATAGCGAGAAAGTGATTTGTGTTGTGGTAGCACTGATACCAAGATCTTGCGAGATTTGTGGTAGAGCGGATGCCATCATGCTCGTTGACATGAGAGTGATCAACTGCCCAGTTGAAATCAGTACCGCAATTGTAACCTTGCGATGCGTCGGCCAGTTGTAGGGATCATCGGGGTCTTCCAGGCTGCCCCAAGTCGCCTTTTCCCTCGGAATAGAATGAGTGAGCAACTTGAAGTCGCAAGAATCATAGCCATATGCTTACTCCATACTTCTCGTACAGCTCTCGCAATACCGCTTGACCCGAGTTTAGTCCTGATATCGCTTCGGTATCATGGTTCATGTCGTTATTTCTTGCTGTGTTCTGGGACATTTTATCCGTAAGTCCAACGTGCTTCTCTAAATCTGTGAGGCTTGTGATTAGAGACTGAGTTCTCTTAATTTTGACTGAGGAAGTGTCGCAATGAAATCGGTGTCCTGATTTTGAGAAGTGCGGCTGGGTGACGCTTTTTAAACCGTGACGACGACTCCTACTGACCTCATCTAGTCGATTGCCGACTATTACTCGGCTCCGAGGCCCATGAGTCGGAATCTGGTAAAGCAGTCCCTGCAGTGCCTAGCTGAATGCAGTGTTACAAACTGCATGGCACGAATCCTTCGGAACTTTTGCGGGACACGTGCGATGAATCACACCTCAAGGGAGGTATCATTCAACCATGTTGACTCCGGTTTTAAGTCAATGTTAAATCATCAATGACCTAGGTGAGTTTACAAGCGCCTCTTCTGCTCTCAGTATTTTTGTAAGTAATGAAATCGTTTGAGCTCATCCGGTGAATTGTCCTAGCGCTTGGGTTTTACACTTAGTGAAGCAAAAGCGATTCTAACAATGTCTGCGCCGGGGGGGGGGGGGCGGTCTCCAAGGGTGCGATGCGTACATTCACATACACATGCAGTGAAATATCCCAGCTGCACTTATCATCGCGTCATGGGCAGCGAGCATTCTATAAGGCATCTTCCAAAAAATGAAGCATAACAACGCGGCTGGCTTGGACCTAGAATCTACCACAATACCGGAATCCAATCTAGATCACGTCCATGATTTGATATTAGTTCCTTGGCAAATGGATGTGCAACCCATTGCAATCGCGGTAGGCGACAAGGAATGATTGAAATCGACGAGGAACACGGAAAAGAGACTCATTCTAGTTGTGCTAAGCGCTTGGTAAGATGATGTAGACCGTTGGAGCATCCAGCTTCAATTCCAATCTCCGACCCGGCCCCTCTTGTTTCAACTCGTCTAACCGTGCAGGATGATCAATACTTGGGTCTGCAATGTCTTCAGCAACCATTGCGGTGCCTACTACTTGAAGTCTTGCGCTATAGTCCGTGCAGCTGATCTTAGATCTCCCAAGTGTGGAAAACTCTGTTGGTCTGACGAGCAGTGCCGTTTTGGTGCCCTGGACCCAGAAAATAAGATCACCCCGTGCTGCTTGGCCTGGAGCAACCCCCATCTTCCATCGCGTCGAAGATGTTCTCCAATAGCCAGTGTAAAGCTGGTACAACAAAATATCTGCTGTCTCTTTTGTTACTGAAATAGTGTCGAGGGAGCTGGAAATGTCACTCGATCCAGGTCTTGACTTCTCCTCTGTTGGCCAACTCAAACATTCACCTAGTACAAGTCCTTGTCTGCTACGGCAACCCCATGAGATGAGACTTTGATGATTGAGACATAGTTTTGATACTTCTGCTTCTGTCTTGCTCAAGATGGTTCTTAGAAGGTTGTTGCTTTGCGCAAAGGCAGAGCCAAGATCATGCTGGTAGTTGGCTTGCACTCTGAAAGACCATGCATCAACTTCGCTCAGTTTACCGGCGACATCTTTCGCCGAAGGCCCAATAGACTGGATGCAACCAATCAACGACCCCATTATGCTGAAGGCTCTGGATTCTTCGGCGTTTGCGTCGAATGAAATTTCGCCTTTTGTTGTGTATGGTCGTAGCACTTCTTGAAGGGGCGTACTTTCCACTCCCATAAGCAGAAATTTCACCAACTTTCCGTATTCGATAATGTTATCCTCTTTCTCTTCCTCGAACATTTGATGGCTGTTCATGAACTCCATAGTGTCTGTCCAGATTTGAAATAGCGATTTATCGTAATCAATTCTCGGAAAGCCGTGGCCATCCACCGCGAGGCCGATCAATCCATAAATTTTGTCCCTAGGGTCCTTGCAGAGGGCGTGTTTGTGTTGTGAGAGGAGTCTCTTGAGCCTGTGGGAGCCTTTGAATCTCTCATCAATTAGCTCATCCAGCAGCATAGGTCCTTCGGAAGGAATTTGGTGCAGAGCCATCATCATAATAAAGTCTTTCCAGTACATGGCTGTAGTACCGAAGCAGACGCGCCTCTTCTGAGCAAGCCCAATCTCTTGGATGATCCAGACTCTCTTCCAATACTCGTCTTTTGCCAACTCAAGCATCATCTTGCGCTGAAGATCCAGGTTTGCTGTATGTGTTTCGTCACAGGATTCGGGAGTGGTGGAAGAGCGCAAGGCGCCGTCCAGGAAGATGTCGTCAGGAGTCACGCGCGAAGTCAGAGGTCTCATGTTTCCCTCGTATTTCGAATAAGAGCTTCCAAGCCATATCACGACCGTGTCTGCTCTGAAGTATATATGGCTCATAATGGAGACCTGTCTATTACGCTCCTGTACGTTTCCTTGGTCAATACAGATTGCGTCAACCCAAAGAAGTCCAAAGTTGCCTTGGTTTCGAAGATAAGAGAGGGCATCGTGGAGATTCTTGCCCACGGATAAGGCAAGGCCGTTAAGCATGATGGACTGTGTAAAAGCCTCTCCGCCCCATCTGTACGACAGAGCTTCATAGCTTGGTCTCGCGACGAATGCAATGTGCACCAAATCGCAGCTGATAGGGTCCTGGTCATTTCTTGCAGGGTGGATCCTCAAGAATCGTGTGCAGTCGATTGCTTCGTCCAAGGGCTGATACTGGAAAGCTGCAGTCTTATCTAGCGGTCTAGGCTCAGAACAATGCTTCGTCTCTTTGGATGACATTGTAGTAAGAATGCTCGTGGCACCTTCCCAGAACTTCTAACAGCTAGAAATGAGGTTCCGTGTTCAAAGGTCACAAGCTGTGACTGAAAAAGATCAAATGAGAACTGTTGGTATTGGAGGGAAACCTCTCCAGCTGATCGAAGCTACTAGGTTAGAAAGCACAATCGGCACAAGAGCCCCTCCTGGAACTCATGAGCAAATCTTGCATTACCCCTCAATTTGTCATTGCCTGATGAAAGCCTTACTTTAGGCAGCAGAGCGCTTGATGACGAACTTCAATTGGCGTAAACGCTCAACCTGCATGAAGGCAGCCAACGACCATTAAATACACCCGGCCATCTGAGATTGAAGCGTGAACATAATCCATTGGTTCACGCAACCACCATAGTCCTGATCCCGAGTTTCTAGCCTTCATGTTCCTTGAAATTAACACTACAAATGGTCTGATAGACTGAGCTGCACATTCTGCAAGGCTGTAAGCATCGGTATCAATGACACAAAATCTCCAAGCCCTGGTTTTCTAGAAGCTCTGGCGGTCATCGACCGTCCAACCCATGTCTCAATGCGCTGTTAAAATGGTGTTGGGGTTAAGGCTTATATATTTCCTTTTCTGGCGTCGTTCTAGTGGTCTAAATGATTTCTCGCTCTGCTTCTCAAATCTCATGTGCTCGAGGATGTTGCATACGGATGCGAAGCTGAGACTTGGATCCAAATGATGACCTGATGCCGAAAGAGTCATCGCAACACATATCGCGGTCCCCGAGTCAGGCGATTATCGATATCTGTCTCAATTCGACCTTCTCCATACGCGTGTTGTTTGCAAACTCAAAATAAATGAAAGCAATCAAGGGGGTCCCATGCAGTGAATCCAGTGACTTTTGGGTTGAGATAAAAACGAAATCCCTTATCACTAGGATCTGATGTGATTGAGGTGTCATATGAGCACTATTACACAAAAGCAGTGGATTCAAATGGCATCAATTTTCATCGCTCGATGGATCGAAGCAGCCACTTTGGCTTCACCCCGTCAAAACCCCTTGAGACTCCAATCTCCCTGGGTCGAAATGTGGTTGAACGTGGTTTTGGGGCTCAATCTAAGGCTGACTCGTGTACTTCCAGACAAGCTTTGATCTTCAACCTCGGCGTTCTTAATTCGTCCGGCCCTTGCTTATCTGACAGCAATCTAGGACCCCGGAGTCATCTGCTAATTGAGTTAGCTCTGATAACGAGAACTGGACAATTACCCCGTCCAAACACTTCATCTCAATGGCGACTCGACAAGAGGTAAGAGATATCGAAACCGTTTGCTTCCTATCGTTCTTTTCTAGTAGCTCATGACATCCGACCAGACACAATGCTGGTCCAAAATATGACAAAGCCCTGGGTTCTCTACGCTGTACCTCCACGCGAGGGACACATGCGACCAGCGCTTCAAATCACCAAATATCTCTTCAGCAGCGGCTTCGACGTCACGGTCTTGGGAACAAAGAGGTGGAAGCCGACAATCGAGGCAGTCGGGGCCCACTTCAGTCCCATCATCGGACTCTGGAAAACCCTCGACGATCCATCTCGCTGGCCAGACATCGCACACGCATCGGATCCAGCCACGAGACTTGCCGCATCTCTCGATGGGGGATTCATCTCGTTGCTACCAAGCGGGCTGGAGTCAGTGCGGGTGGCGTTGGCGGGTATGAGGCGACGAGAGCCCGGCTGCCAAATCATCGTTCTGTCGGATACGTGCTTTTCTGGGACGCTGGCGTTGAAGTTGGGCACCGACTTGCCAGAACTGTTTGCAGATGATGAGGTTGTTCGGACTATCGGGATCGGTGTCGTGCCAGTGTTCTGGACCAGCCCTGAGCGGCCACCATGGGGATCTGGACTCCCTTTCGATGACAGTGAGAAAGGGCGGACAAGGAATGCGAAAGCATTCAAGGAGACGTGGAACAGCGCTGCTGAAGATCGCGCGAGGTGGGTTTTGGGAATGATGGGATGTCCCAAGCCCGTTGAGTGCCTTTACGATGGACTCTCAACGAGCATGAAACATCCCTTCTGGGATGCAACGACGGTCTGTCACGACACAGTCCTGCAGATGTGTCTCCCGAGTCTTGAGTTTCCTTCATCCGACTGGCCACGGAAAATCAAGTTCGCGGGCACACTCCCGATCAAACCTATTCCAACTGACCTCACATATCCAACGTGGTTCAACGACGTTCTCTCAAACAGCTCATCTCTCCAGGTATCAAATCTCAATCGCAAGAAGATCATCTTTGTGGCCCAGGGAACGGAAGTCCTGGACCACAAGGAACTCATCATCCCGACAATGAAGGCCTTTGCTACACATTCCGATGTTCTAGTCGTCGCGTGTCTTTGCGTGACCGGAGCAACTCTCGACACAAGCACTTTCAAGGACGGGAAATTGCCCGCAAATGCTCGGGTGGTGGATTACTTCCCGTATGACGCGATTCTGGCACACGCGGACGTCTTTGTGTCGAACAGCGGGTACGGAGGGTTTCAGCATGCGGTTTCGAATGGTCTTCCTATGGTGCAAGCAGGCAACACGTTTGATAAGCCAGACATTGGGAGAAGGATCGAGTGGTCTGGCTTGGGGGCGTTTCTAGCCGAGTCACCTCCATCTGTGAGCGCCGTGGAGCAGGCAGTCACAGAGGTTCTGGGTGATGAGAAGTATAAGAGACGAGCAGAGGAGCTTAGGAAAGAAGCGGACACGTTTGATCCGTTGCGAATGATTGAAGAAGAGATTATGCGTTTAGCTCAGTCGACGGTGCCTTCGTCAAGTTGAGCAAATTGTATGGTATTCAAATGACAACAAGACTACCTAATCAGCAACCTGGCCTTGCAGGCAAAAGAGATACTGTACGCAATTATTCGATCATGACTTCTCTATCAGTGTAGATCTCCCAGGCTGGTTCAGCTCCAGCAACCGCAAGCCGTCGCCATCTACTCCTCGTCGTCCATTTCCTCCTCCCCATTCTCAAAATCTGCCTCACGCTAAAGGATGTTAGCTGCCTGTCTTCGGCGATGTCATATAGCAGCAAAAGATTCATACCCCGAGGCCTCCTTCCGTGTTCTGAAGTTCCATCATTCCGTACACAACGTCCGGCAACTCAAAGTCTTTGGGAGCGGTAATGATACCAAACTCAACCAAGCCATCAAAGTTGCTACCCCACCAGCTGCGGCCATAGAATCCGACAATACACTCGTCTGCTTGCGCCTCTGTTTTGTTATACCAAGTCAGTAATCTCATGTGGCAAATTGGACACCAGGTTACTTACCAAGAGTCGAGGTCTCGGGAATATCCCCATATCCCGTCAAAGCACCGCCAGACGAGCCATTACTCAGGTGAATCCTCATACCGCGCAGGGTATCCTCCTCCCTAGACACCTCAATCTTGACAATCTCTGCACCCTTAGGGATCTTAACCTCCTCGGAGGCATGACCGCCAAACGTATGCTCCCCACCACCCCACTTATTGATCCGAGGACCACAGTTCACACGATCGCCGTCAGGGAAATGCACATACGCGCCGTCAAGGATACATCCAGTCCGCACATCCACCGAGTTCGCCCGCACAACAGACCCATCGCTCTTGCGGCGTGTAAGCAGCGTCGCCCACGACCAGAACTTTTCTCCCTCGCCATCATCGGCCGACTCCTCGAGGTCCTTCGTCACGACGGATCGCTTGCGCAGAAGGACGTCCGACCCGGGAATGCGGACGTACGTGGTCGATGAGAAGAGACGCCAGAGATCGCGCACCGTCTTGGTCTTGCCGTTCATACCGAGCACGTAGAGCTTCAGGCTCTCGTCGCGGGAGAAGCGGGCTTCGAGTTCCTTGAGAGTGTAAGACACTTTCCAGGCCGGGCAATCCATGGATGGAAGGAGTTCAGATTTGTCGTTGAACTCCATGCGAGCGAGGTTGGCTGCGCAAGCAATCTCAACTCCGACATCATCAGTCTCAATGTTGATGAGTGAGACAGTCGGGGCGCTCGATCGCTGCACCACTGACAGTCTGGTATCGCCGGGTAGCCAGAAGTGGTTGAGGGACCGGAAGGACAGGGCATCCCGCAGATCCCACCTAGCATCGTTCTCCGTCTGCCCATCAACCACGACAAAACCCTCCTTATTGATCTTCTGAGAGTACGCCGTCTTGACAAGGAAGTTTCGGGGCCAGTGGCCAGAGTACCCGCGCGCCATGATACCAGTCGTATGCGGAGCCCCAAAAGCATGCCCGACCTCGTGCAAGAACGCGCCCTGCCCAATCGAACAAGCCTCCCAGAACGTCCCGCACTCTCCGTTGTCGTCGCCGACAGTCTGTCCCGGGGCGCGAGTGTCGAGAAGACAGTCCGAGACTTCCTCTAGGAACCGAGGCCACGAGTACGTCAGGTGACTGCCCATCATGCCGAGGGACACACCAGTCGGGTTATGACATCCCAGTGCGGCGTGACCGAGGATGAGTTTCTTGCTCACAGAAAAGTGCGAATCAAGAATCATACCCGCGACAACTGGATGCGCCGAAGCCTCGAAAGGCGAACCCTGGGCCGCAAGGGCATCCAAAAAGTAGTCAAACAATCCATCTCTTGACTTTGCGGTCTCGTTCTGTTGTGCAACCTCCGCGTCACGGATCTCTGCCGTCGTCCTCTCCGATCGAACAATATGGACTTTGGCAGTAGAGCGCATGGCACCACTGTCAAAGAGAGCAGCTTCATGCAGCCCGTTCAGAAACTCGCGGCTAGTCGTGTCGGCAGCCCATTCCTCCTCCAGCCTAAAGGAGCGACGGCCGAGACCCTTGAGTCGCATGTCTTCGGCGGTGAGGGCCTGCCACATGTACGCAGACATGCGAAGCTTGGCGATGGCGGCGTCGAGGGAAGCATGGGCTGTGGAAGAGGCACCGTGTTTGAGGGGCGGGCAGTCGATGAGGAGAGGGGAGTCCTTTGCGACCATAACGGCGAGGTGGAGAGGGGGTGATTGGAGGAGGGGGATGTATGTTAGGTTGAGCTCGTTGGCGATGGTTTGAGTGCCGGATGTGCGGGTGATGGTGAGTGTGTTGGGGCCTGGTGAGAGTAGGGCGATGATTTTGATCCTGTTATCTGCGATGGGCCAGGTTTGGGTTGGGAAAGTCGTGTTTGTGCTGTCGTTAGCCTCGACTGTTGCAAAGTCATCGCAAACGTTAGAGCCCGGCGAGTAGGTTCCTTTGATGATTACACAGCGCTATTTGAGGGCAAAGTCAGAAGCGTATCTTTCAGACGATGTGCTCTTAGTGATGGTGTGCGTTCATCACGTACCTGGTGAACCGTCTCACCGTCAGTGAAGTTGTTAAATCTGAGAGACATGGTGGCGGTTTCTTGAGCTGAAACGGGAGGCATCTGAATGTGTGAAATATGATCTGAGGGATTCTTCTTATCGTAAAGAATGTACATATCCTGTACGTGTGTTGAGATAGGTTGTTGATGAGGATAGGTAACAATGATCTGTTTGAAGGTGATGACTCTCCTAATGTAAATTCCAATGGCCGTTCCCTCTCATCTTTATATTCAGCAACTGCACATTAACTTCATACAATCTCAAGGATGAAGTCAAACTCCTAACGCAACCCACATGGCATCGGACGGGGATGAATTTCAGGCAGAACTGCCACTAATAAACGCTACCGAGCGTCGTGCCGCTCAGCCGGGGTAGACTGCCTGATTTCCCCGGTCCCATCGTCTCCACTTTTCCGGGGCTACCCCTGAACCGGGCCCGTTCCCCCAGGCCAGACTCTAGGCAGCATGGCGGTCGAGACCTCCCAATTCTTGAAGATTATTCACGTAGTAAGCCAGTTTAAGAAGCTAATCCCATGGAAACTCATCTCACATAACGAGCAGACAATCAGGAAGCGGCGCATTAATGGGTGACTCATTTCCAAAGTCTCCAGAGTCTTTCTGCTTCAGTGAACGTTCATCCGAACTACTGGTGAGTTTTTGGCGTCAAGATGAGAGGATGTCGTGAAAAGATTCACCGATACGAGATATTGAGAAGTCTACCGAGCAGGATTTTGGATTTCCTGCATGTTTGGGAAGCTTCTGCCCTGAATGGCATCCAAAGACATTGAGACTGGCGATGACGTTGCATGAACCTGGGTGGGCTTGCTCTTGAGTTCGCTCATGCGGTGCTGGTTTTGCAGAGTAAACTTTAGGGGGGCGCTCACGATGAGGTTATCTCACTCTTCAATGCACGAAGGACATTTTGCGAAGACGCGTATGGATTCCATAGGTTAGTGATGCGTCGTGCTTCCCCCAAGATATACTCATCCATAAACCCCGAAACTCACCCGACCCGTGACGGTTGGCGAGCTTTCACAAAAGGGTTTGAAGAAGATCGCCATCTTGGCGTTTGAGTCCTATTCATTTGAATACATTCATCCACCGTCCGACAGACGTCTACCACGACGCGCCATCCATCACCATCACGGACTCAAGCCTCACAACTTCAACCCGTCCATCATCCCCTCCAACAAAACCCACTCCTCCGTCCCCTCCCACGCCTCCTTTCCTCTACTCATCACACTCCTAACCGCATTCCTCGCCTTGCCCCTCCACCGACTGCCCACACTCTCAACCTCGCTCCCAAAGTTCTCCAACACACTAACAAGCTCGTCCGTCCTCGCGACAACAACCTTCCACGCCCCCTTATCCGCAAGCCAATTCCGGCTCAAATCATCCCCGGCCCCGCCCGAACCCGCCGAAGAAGCCTTCAACCCACCGCCCGCACCGGCCCCCATCGCCGCCCTCCAAGCCTTCTCCGCAGCATCCACGGCGCCGGCGTAGTCCCGTCTCCACACCCGCTCTCGGACAATAAGCTCCCACAGCTCTGACCGTGTCGTGATAAGCGGCACAACACTCTCCTCGAAAAGCGCAACGACGGCCTTCTCAATAGTACCCCGCGGCGGGACGTATACCCCCGTCTTACTCTCGTCATTCTCCTTTTCCTTGGTGAGCACGCTCTCCTGGAGCAGCGCGCGTAGGACGTCGTCGTCGAGCGCGTCCTCGGTGTTGCGGATGCGGATGATGGCGCGGAGGGCCTGCACCATCTCCGAGACGGCGGGCGGACGCATCCGCGACGCGAGGGTGAGGACGTTGTCCCAGATGCGCCAGTTATCCTGCGCGATCGATGCGCCGCGCTTGTAGGCCGCCAGGGACTGGGATAGCAACGTAGCCGGGTCCTTGGCCTTGCTCTCCCGCTTCTTCGGCTCCTCGTCATCGTCGTCCTCTGCTTCTTCGGTTGACGCATTTGCTTCCGCCGTGCCATTCTTCTTCTCCTCGATAATCTGCTTCTTGACCTCCTCCACGGCCTCGAGGTACATGCTCCAAAGCGAACTACCCAAGTTACTCCACGTCCTCGCGTCCTCGCCGCCAACGACATCCCCAGCGGCGCCAATCGCCCGACTATACGCCTCCGCGGCATCCGGGAACTGGCCCAGCCGGAGACTGATATCGCCCAACCGGCTCCACATCTCGGGACTCAGCCGGTTACACCGTGTCGCGAGCTTATACGCGTCCTGCGCCTTGGTCCACTCCTTTTGCGAAAGGTACCACTCTCCCAACGACTTTTGCGCGCGCGCAAACCGCCGGTTCGAAATCTGCCAAGCCCGCTCCCAGTGCGCCGGCTCGTTCTCCAAATCGCCAAGGATACAAAACAGCCTCGGCGCGTTTGGCGGCGGCGGACTCCGTTCGGGGCCGGTGAAGTCGGCAGGGTTGAGGTACGTCACATCCCGCGCGTCAAGGTCCTCCGCATCAGCATCCGCGTTCTCGACGAGAGGTTGTCCCATGCGATGGAACAGCCGCCAGCGCACGAGCGCCTTGGCCTTCTCCTCGCCGCCGTTGCCGCGGCCTGAGTCGTCGTCATTGGAGGCGCTGCTGGCGAGGCAGAGCGCGACTTCGGCCCAGAGGCGCAGACGCTTGAAGATTTCGAGGGCGGAGACGAGGGAGCCGACGCCGGCCCATGAATAGGCGAGTTCGGACTCGAGGTGCCATTTGGGAGGGGAAGAGAGCGCGTGGATGTACTGCAGCCGGACGTGGGCAGGGGCGGTATCCGTTTCCTTGGCGGCGGGGAAGAAAGATGTGGGCTTCTCCGTGTCGACGGGTGCCGCGACGGCAGTGTCGATCTCGGGCTCACCTGGGGCGGAGACGGCGATGGCGGGGACGTCGGCGGGTTCGTTGTTGGCGACATCTTCGGCTTTCGGGCGGGGTACTTCCGAGGTGTCGACAACGACTTGGTCCACAACGGCTTGCATTTGCAGAACACCTCTTTCGACTGTTCTGCTGCGGTGAACTTCAATGCGGGAGCGAACAAGGAGGGCTTGCGAGTAGATTTGCCAGTTTGTAGCCTTGTCCGAGACCACGCGCACGGCGTAGGGAAGAACCTCCTCTGAAGTCAGAGTGTCAACAGGAGAAAAGGTGTCCTTGAGTGTTGCTTCAGTGAGGAGAATAATCTGGTCGAGGGGCGACAGCTGCGGCTGCGCCTCTGGAGACAAATCTGCCAGCGCCGCGGGAAGCCCTGAAGATGTGGCAGCGAGCTCTCCATGCTTGCCGCTCGCCTCCTTGGAGAACTGAATCTCTTCAAGCAGGGTATCATCGTTGAGGGCAACAGCCTCGGGCTTGGCCTCCTCGTCATCTGCTGCCAATCCCTCGCCCTCGGTCGTTGCATCGCTCTTTGCGAGAACAACAAGCTGACTCGTGCTCTTCTCCTGGAACTTTGTCCTCTTTCCCAATGCACCAGAGAGCGCATACGCAAAGTTGTTCAATTTAGTCGCCTCCTCCAGCGCCTCGCGCGCCCGGTCATCGCGGCCGAGCATAATGTGCGTGTTGGACACCTCAAGCAAGAACTGCACCTTCTCTTCGCGTGACCAGGCCTCCTCGCTCGTCGACCACACATCCTCGTCAAGGATTTGCTTCCGGACGGTCTCGATGCCGAGATTAATCTGCTCCGCCAGCGTCGGGACGTCAATCCACTGCGATGCCTTTGCAAAGTTGGCGCCGGGGCCGAGGGACGGCTGGCTGAGCAGCTTGAAGTGCCATACGTTGACGCGTAGGCGGGTCCAGGGCAGACTCAGGCGGGATGAGGCAGAAGAAGAGAGCCTGATGATGGCATCGCTGGCCGAGGAGGCTTCGTGGAAGACAAAGCGGGCGAGCGCAAAGAGCTCGATGTGCGGGATGTAAGGATACGGTGAGACGCCGTCGACTTCGAGGGCCTTGAGACTGTCTTTGCGTAGCGCCTTGAGGGTGTCTGCTGATGATCCTCTTTCGTCATTGCCTGCCGTGAAGGCCTCAGTGAAGAGTGCTTCTACCTTGTGAGCGTGCTCCAGCACGGGACCCGTGACGTTTGACTGCAAAAACGCATTGAGGGCGGCAAGACCTATAGCGATCTCATCTTCCGATAGTGACTCTTTTGACGTTGCTGTGGGATTGGCATTTTCTCCGCCGGTCTGGGCTTGAAGACTGGTGGTAAATCTGGTGATGAGATCCTTAGCCACTGAAGACGTCAAGACATCGATGTAGGCGCCATCTGTGAACCGGGAAAGCAGCGAGGCCGTAGCCTGAGAGCCATTTGTTTGCGCATCCGTCATGGCTCAAATGATGTATTCGAATGTGGAATCAATGGTTGCGCCTCGCTTGTGATATCGAGGGGTTCTGGGTCGCGATAAGTGACCTTTTCTTTTCTGCCCCGCGCGTCGCGGGGTAGTTTCGCCAGAAAGAAATGCTCGATGACCTCGCTTTTTCTGAATAAAAAGTATCCAGAGATAAAGGAGTTTGGTTCACTCGTAGTTCGATTTTGTCTAGAATATCACAGGTGACAATGTTCGTCTTGGTCGAAGATCAAGTGACTCAGACGGTGAATTCGGCGTGTTTCGATGCCCTGTGAAATCGAAATTTCCATGGTGGGGGCGGGGCAAATTTTCACCTACCGCCTTACATAAGCCACTCACCTTGCATCTCACCGAAAACATCTCCACCTTAGGTACCTCAACTTCGACCTCAAGTACTTCAAAGACTCACTCACCATGGCCCATCTCATAAAGCTGCAAGCCAGCCAAAAATGGCATCACGTTGTAATGTGGGACACGCCCTTACAACAATGCTTTCTGACATGCTACCTATCGCTACAGTAGAGCGCTTACATACGCTGTGTACCAATGACAGTAATCCTGAGCCACAACTTCGCCGTTTAGACATGATCGTCAAGCATAGCCTAATCAGAGAGTTCCAGGCCATCTTCCGCCGCGAATTTTCCCACAGCATTTTCTAATTGTTCTTCTTTCTCGCATTCTTGCGGGTGCCTTTGATACCAGCGTCACCAGCGGCAGCGGGTGGCTGCTCCTAGTTGCTCTTCTTTCCTGCCTTCTTGCGCGTGGGCACAACCTTGAAGCCTGCGCCTTGGATACCGGCATCTCCGGCAGCAGCAGGGGGCGTCTCCTTGTTGCCGCCCTTCTTGGCAACCTCGTTCCATCCGCTGGAAGAGCTGCCCGTCTTGCTGTCAACAGCGCCTTGCTTCTCAACGATACCCTTGTCGGCGAGTCTCTTGCGGCGAACAAACTCTTCAGCAAAGTGTGCTCCGTGCATCGTCTTTGAGTTGGCGTAAACGGCGTCTGCAATGATACCATCCTCAAGGGGGAGTTCAACAAGGATGCCAGCAAAAGTGTCCACTAGAAACGACGTTAGCACTGAATTTCAGGTCTAGGTTGAACTGGTTGACTTACCATCAACTCCGTTAAGGCCACGGGACAACTCGTGGTGAAGCCACTTGTTGAACTCATCCATGGCAACGTTGCCCTTAGCAGGGGCGGCCGCAATCACGGTGGCAACAGGCTTGACAGCCGGCTTTGCAACAACCGGGACCGGCTTTATGCCAGCGGCACTAACGGATCTCGTCTGAGAGGCAGGTCCGGTGGGCACCTTGACCTTACCGCCGGCTCCGACGGTCGCCCAGCCGGGACCAGGAGGCGGGGCGGGCGTGCTGGATTGAGCGAGGCCAGGGGCAGCATTGGGCTTGGTCGCAAGGTCGGCATAACGCTTGCCGGCAGCAGCAGTAGCCAGTCCAGTCTGGATGGCAACCTCCTTAGCCTTGAGCTTTCTCACTTCCTCCTCACGCTGAATGTCGGCAAGAGTCTTCTGCTTGCTGGGGGTGCTGGTGCCTGGAGTGGGTTTGACAACGGCAGGCTTGGTCCAAGGGCTGACGGCGGCAACAGGGGAGCCGTTACCCCAAGTGCTGGTGGTAGGCAGGCCGGTAGCAGCGACAATAGCCTTCTCGCGCTCGCGAAGAGCCGCAGCCTCTTGCTCAAGCGCCAAACGACGACGCTCGGCGGCAACCTCCTCAGCCTTGGCAGCCTTGCGCGCTTCAGCTTCCTGAATCTCCTTCAGACTAGGTCCCTTGCGACTAGCGGCCTCCTTGGCCCAAGGAGCCAGTGGCGGGGGCTCAGTGGCGGACCCAGTGTCGGGAGTTCCAGTCTGGGAACGATTGTACTGCTCGGGCAAGTTGGAACGGACACGCTGGGCGGTGGGGGCCGGGAGAGGTGTACCAGCTGCAGGTAGGGGGGGAGGGAACGGCATCGGAAGGCCGGCAGCAGCGTTCTTTGCAGCTTCGGCGGCAGCTTGAGCTTGCTGGACACGCTGAGTCAATGAAAGCTGATGCTCCTCCTCCATAATCTCCTTCATGCCAGGGGCGGGGGACTTGTGGTGCTCGTTGCTGATAGCCTGAGCCATGGCAGGAGCGGAAACATCTTGAGCAACATCTTCCTGGATGCTCTGGCTGGTAGCGGCTTCCTGGGACTGCTCGGAGTCGCGTTCGGCACGGATATCCTCAAACTCTTTCAAGCGCTCACGAAATCCCTCTTCGTCCTTGTCCAACTGCTCGGTACCGGGAAGGTGGTTCCGGAGGTTGCCCTCATTCGCGGGAGCGCCGACCGGTTGCTGAGGAAAAAGACCTGCAAGACTAGGCGGGACTGGAACATTCGCAAGCATCTGGCGCTCGGAAGCGTTCAGTGTGGCAAGTTCCTCTTCACGAAAATGGTCGAGTCCAGAACCAACAGGGGGTTGAGTAGATCCCTGCTGGGTAGCCGAGTCAAAAAACCCAGACGTCGGGCCGGCTCCACCTCCGATGGGTGGCTGCTGGGTGTGAGGACCAATCGGCGAGGAGATGCTGCTGAAGCTAGGTTGGCTCTGCAAGCTGTGAGCGCTGTGCTGGTGGTGCAAAGAACCTGGGACACCACCTGGGCCTTGACCTTGCAGTCGGGTGATGGCTTGCTGCCTCATCATAAAGTCTCGCTGTTGTGCCATCGCTTGCTGTTCCTCCTGCTTCCTTCGCTCGAGGTTGTTCTGCTCCTCCGCGGTCAATGTCCTACCAAAGCTAGGGAAGACACCACTGAGAGGAGGAATGACACCCACGTTGCCGCTGGGAGAGAATGGTCCAGCCTGAGACGGTGGGCCATGGGCGATGCCGATCTGGGGAACCAGGAAAGGCTCGCGAGAGTTTCCGATGCGGCGGATGAGCTGTCCAAGAGGCTCAAACTCGGGGTCTTCAACCTTCTTGACCCGAAGATCGGGAGTGAAGAAGTTGGCCTTGTACCAGTCGTTCATCTCGAGACCACTGAAAGGGCCCTGAACCTGTCCTTGAGGATCGAGATAAACCCAGCGCATACGGTCAGGCATGACCATCTGGCGCACAGGAGTCGACCCGAACTCGCCACCGGTGGAAGCTCCGGGAGTGAATGCTTGGGGGTGGCCGATGCCCGCAGCGCCAGGGTGGTCGGCACCTCCAAATCCGCTATGAGTTCGAGTAGGGTCAGAGGGGAACATTTCCTCAAAGACTCCTCCCCGGCCGCTGCGGAGAGGGCTGCCGGTGTCTCTGGGCGCAACACTGAAGTTATTACGGCCGATTGCACCGAGAGGGTTGCTCTGCCGAAGGTCGGGCAACGAATCACTTAAGTTCTCCTGCTCGTGTCCTTGCATTTGTGCTTGCATGGCAGCTGGGAAGAGAGAACCCAACTTACTGCGGCCAATAGTGCCTGGGCCACCGAGGCCAGCAGCACTAGCCGAGCCGAAGACGCCACCTCCGATACTCGACAATCCTGGAGACTGGAGATCAGTGCCCATAGGACTGAAGAGAGCATTGCCGAAAACTCCGCCGCCGAACCCGGCGCGTTCACGGTCAGGAGTGCCCGTAGAGAGAGGGACAGGCCAGCCTGAGGCGTAACCTCTAGGTCCAGCGCTACTGGTCTGACTGCGATCGCTGCCGTCAAAAGCGTGTGTCGGGAAGCCGCGCGACACGGTGCCGAAGCCAGGATTCTGTTCAGCGCCCACAGCCACACCGCCGTGATGCTTCTCACCCGATCCTTCCTCCTGTGATTCGTTTCGGTCGGCCGGCGGGCTGCGATAAGGGTTCGTCTCCGACGGGCTCGCTGGGCCAGGCTCGTTTTCCGAAGGGCGTCCCAGGTTCAGTCCAGACATGCCAAAATCTTGAGTAGAACCTTTGACCGGGGTCTCGAACATCCCAATATTGGTAGGGTTGGGAATCGGCGGGGGACTGGTGTCTCGAGCACCTCCGAGTGCGGCGCTGCCAGATAAGTTGTCGTCTCCGCCGAAGGGGTCGGTATCGGTTCGGGGCCGGGATCGCCAAGATCGGGTTGCTTCTGGAGTCGAGGCTTCATTAGGCTTGATTGCGGGACTGTCGGTGCCTTCCTTGTTCATAAGGTTTGCAAAGCGACTCCCACCACGGTTGCCACCGCCAATAGTCGAAGTTGGAGTTGGCAAAGCGAATTGGCCGAAACTACCCATGCCGCCGCCGCCGCCGCCACCAGCAGCACCCCCGGCCGAAGGAGGCTGAGAAGCTCCCCAGAGAGAACTGATATTGGCACCCATGGAAGGATTACCCGCCGTGTTGCTACGCGTCAGGTTTCCAAAAGGCGGCTTAGACTGAGGCTGTCCAGCACCTTCATCCTCGCCTGGCTCCTGCTCCTTGACGTCGTTGTTCTTGCGACCAAACAGGAAAGACTGTTGGTCATCGCGAGCGAATCGTGTGGCACTTGGTGAAGCGAGGGGACCGCTGCCAAAAGGGTTGGAATCCGTCGTCTCTCGGCGCCGGGTACCAGGTCTAGAGGCAGACGAGGGCGATTGTAATCCGTATCCGGCGGCGCTACCGTGTGATAGCGACGCCTTCCGTCCATTCGGTCCCGGTCCCTGGGTGCCCTCCTGTTTCTGGATGGGAGGCTTCAGAGTAGAGTTGACATCAGATGCGAATGCCTGTCTCATATTAGCATTGTTTACCTGGTGGCCTGCTCCAAATGACCGACGCACCTCCTTCTCCTCTTCAGACATGCCATTGATAGCAACGGGGTTGTTGTCACCCCGGTTGTTCCAACAGGCAGCAGGATCTTGCGAATTGTGGTTATTGTTGGTTTTTCCCCAACCTCGCGCAGCGCTTCCGTTTGTGTGTCCCGGAGTCCATCCCGATTCAAAAACATTGGAGGCGTCTATTTCCGCCGCACCGTTCTTGTACACACCGACAATTGAGTCCTTCTGATACTGTGAAGGGGCAGGATAGTCGTATGTCGCAGCGCCAGGGGTCTGAGGAACTGCGCCGGAGTCGAGCGGTGTAGAGGGGAAGGCCTGTTCGGACGAGGCTGCGGGTTGGGATGGCTGACCGGGCGTCGTCGAGGATCGTCGAAAGGTCAGGGTGCCGTTAACTCTGCCGTCACGTCGAGCCCTGCTTGCGGCGTTAGTACAGGCTCTCAGTCACATCCTAGCCGCGCTGTGCATCCTGATGTCTGGCGATATTGCGACAACGTGGCGAGAACCCAACGAGGTGGCGGTCTATAGAGTCACCATCACCAATATCACGCGAACGCCAACTTTTCTTCATCATCTCCAGACGCAAACAGGAAGCACAGAGAATAGCAGGGTAGCGATGGGGGTTTGTTGGGCGAAATGGGGAAAGTCACTAACCATTCCCCGCTGCCAGCTCCACGCCCGTCCTGTCGACCGCCTCTCGCGTCGCGGTTGGCGTTTTGGCCGGCGGCGGCCGAGGCGAAGCTTGATGGTAGATTCGAAGGCATGGTTAATTATGCGCAAAGTAGGTATCTGGCGATGAGCAAGTGTCTGGGGGTGTGCAAACAGCGCGCAGGGGTGGTGGTATTTTTTTGGTGGTTCGGTAGTTGCTGATCGATCTCTCGTGGACAGGTCACGAAAGGGATTCTGTAATTGAGTTGTGGGTTTGTCGGCGCGCGACTGGCTGTAGATGATGATACACGTGAAGTGATGCGGGATGCAGGTAGCTGATGTCAGGCTTGCTAAACGATGGATTGATCGAGATACCGAGAGGTCGGTTCGCGAGCGTATGCGGTTCGTCGTGCGAGGGTGGGTGAGGAGGGTGAGCTGTCTCGTCGAAAAAATCAAAGGTTTGAAAGGAAAATTGCCAGCTAGGAATGACCCACGATGGTGTGGACCAGGGAGGAACTGTGGGGACGGGACAGCCGCTAAGCCCCCAAAAGGTATTGCCCGTGGTTTATCCGGTCCCGGCCACACGTTTTTCTAGATGGAAGTACCGGGGAAAGGAAGGTAAGAGCGGATGACGTTGGAGACTTGGCCTTGTGTTCGAGGAAGGTACAGATCAATATTCAGGTACATAATGCTACGCAGCTACTGCCTGTTTTCGTGCTTTAATGCAGTGCTCCTACTGACTTGTTGCCTTTGTCGTTTCCCCTCGCTGCCTTCCACTTTTAATTTGTGATACCCTACCTTACTCCAGCAACTCAAGGCACCTACCTGCCTACCCTAGTGAGGCACGTACCTTCCCCAATTGTCAGGCAGGAGCTGTGCTGCAAGACGACAATGACGATAGTTGCATCACGTGCGTCACACGTGACCCCACCCTGGGGCGTCCACACTGACGTTGGACGCAGGGCAAGAGCTCGGACAATTAAGGCAGGGCAGCCAGTCACCCCCGTTCAGGGCAGTCCAACCTCAAGCCATCGGGCTTTGCTGCAGGGCTTGGGCTAGGATTCGCACTTGGATCGGATGCTAAAATCTGGCTAAACTTTCCAGGGGTCATCCCCTAGAGGCTCACTGACCTTTTACACTAAACTCGCCTATGTGCCTAAGGTAGCCTCTCATCCTTCCTTTCCCTCTTCAGAGCTTTCGGGTGACGATCAAAGAGATGAGTCGGGTTTCTTGACCAAAGTTGACATGAAGAGGCAGAATTCTCAATTTCAGGTAGTCGTACCCGCAGAAGAAACCACAACGCAATAAGCGAGGGAGAACACAATCGCCAAAAGGAAGGGGAAAAAAAGGAATGCCACTCATAGCCCAGCCCTTCCGGGTATCCGCATCTCATCCAACACCTTCTAGGCTCTGACCCGTTCGCTCATGCTCATGCACTCACTCAGTCTCCACGTCGCCCGCCTCCTCATCTCATCTCATGTCTCGCGCCCCAGCCAGTCTCACCTCACCACGACTCGCATCCCTAATCCCCTCCATTAGCCTCATTGGCCAAGAGGGTTGGAACAAGTTCAAGGGAGAGTTTAAACATTCTGGTCTGTTTCATGCGGTCAAACGGCATCTGAATGGCATCCGTTTTTGCTCAGGCTCAAAGGAGGAGACGATCACACGCCAGAAGAAAACGAGACGACGTTAATGTTTGGTTGCCCCTCGTTCCTGCGATATTCTCACCTTCCTGGTGCGACGCGCGAACGTCATGCTCGTACGTTGAGACGACCTCATAGTGTTCTCATCAACCTCAACATTACTCAGTCGCCGCAAATAGATTCTCTGAACAGACCTCTTACCCGCAGCCAGTTAGGTATTTATTGATATGCTGTGAGAAGGTTCCATCTCCCACGTGCCGCCGCTCCCACGCATGCCTTGTCATCTAAACTCCATTCTCATAAGATCTGAATAGTGATTAGAATGATTCCCATCACGTTGTATCGGCCGAGCCGGCTCCGACGCGCTAGTGTTAGATTGCCTGCCTAGTCATCTCAAACCTGGAAGCTCAGACAGCTCCTTTTTAGACTTTAGGTCCAGTCTTATCACGGACTCTTTCCCCAGCGTTTCGTCTGCACGGTATCAGCTTGTCGAACGACATCTCATCAATCTTAACAACAGCGGAAGACAAGATTGAAGTCATTGACTCGGTACAGATGAAGATGTCGCAGTCCGGACTACTACCCCAAGACTTTGCCGACCATGGCGCTCCCAAACGAATGTTTATCGCCTTTTTCAAAAGTCGACAAGTAAGGTTCTTCGCCCTCTTTGGCGTCGGCCTCTATCTCATCAGGGCATTCTTATTGGACTCATCCAAGTCGGGTAAAGACGACTACGCAGCCACGAATCCCTGGCGGGACCTCCCGACTGACTCGGCCGTTCACTCGACCATCCGGGAGGTGCTTCTCATCAGCGACACCCTCCGGGACGGCATGCTCCCGACCTCGCTCCCGGATGATAACTACGACACGTACTCTGCCATGCTACGCAACCTGGAGACGCGGCAAGATGTCACTTGGCTAGTTATCCAAGAGACCGGCATCGACAGAACCATCATGGCCATTGCCAATCGTGGCGGACATCATAGTCCTATCCCAGAGGAGCCCCACGCCTTACATGAGCGTGCCAAGACGCTTCACGGTCACTGGTCGGCGCTCGCTGCAGCCAGCGACAAACCAGAGAGATGGGAAGCTCGGTTTGACACGACTTGTCTCCCGCCATTGGCTGCCAGACAAGGCAGCGCATCAGGACAAAAAGCCGGTTCATTCAAGCTGGACTTGACTCCCGCACAGAAAGCAGATGCGGAAGCCAGGTACAAGGCCTATCGCAAGCGCAGGGATCGCGCCGTGTCGTACCTCAAGGACCACCCGCCCAAACCGATGGCCTGGGTGCCGGCGCAAACGGACCCGGAGAAGCAGCGCGGTTTCTGGGAATCGCTGTTCAATGACGGTGTCATCAAGGCCGGACGTAATGTCGAGGGAGGAAAGCTGGCGGGCAACCCGGGGTTCAAGCCCGTCTACCGTGATCTCATTACTGAGCGTGTCCCTTATGACTGGGTCAACCCGGATGAGCAAGTGAAGGAGTACACTGAGGCGGATCACTTGAAGGAGATGGAGGCCTTCAGGGAAGAGTCCCGTATCAGAAAGGAGAGGACGGACAAGCAGGCGGCTTACCAGGAAGAGCTCAGAGCCGAGGAGAGACGGAAGCGGGGTGAAAAGGAAGAGCTTTGATGCCTCAGTCCTACCGTTAGCCCGGTACTCATCTTACTACAGCGTTGCGAAAATCATCGAATGGCAATTGCTTTCTATCAGGTAGTCGCTAGTAGTTAATACAGTACATAATTCTAGGCGATATCTCCATCCTCTCCCAACGGCACCAGCTTCGTCGGGTTACACAAGGCCGGACCTCCCACTACGCCACGGTCTCACTCATCAGCCAGCCCTAGCTTCCTTCAAGCCAAAACGAATCACCACCGGGCCACGACGTTGCTCGTCCACAATCTTAGTAGCCCGAAAGAACGGCACCGATGGAAGCCAGCGCCGGAACAGCCTGGATGAAGAAGATGCGCGGGTTCGCCGTGGCGCCACCGTACGCGCCGGCCGCGACGATGCAACCGAGGAAGAAGAGCTGGAGCTGGCGCCCGAACTCGGGGACGGGGTGAGCGATGCCCCAGGCGAGACCGGCGGACAGGAAGCCGTTGTAGAGCCCTTGGTTGGCGGCCAGAGCCTTTGTCTTCTCGGCAAAATCGGCGGTGAGATTGAAGGCCTTGCGGCCGCGGGGCGAGGTCCAAAGGAACATCTCCAGGACGAGGATGTAGCCGTGGAGGCCGGCCATGAGGCCTGCTGCCGTTGCGCCGATGAAGCCCATTCTTGGAATGATGTGGTTATTTGAGGGAGGTGAGGCAAGTGGCTGGTGAGGTATTGTTGAAAGCTTGTTGTGTGGATAGCGAGGGGAGGCTGAGACGGGGGAAGGGCGAGAACGAGCGGAGGTGGGGAAAGCGGCGTTATCGTCGGTGAGGACTGAGGGCTGAAGATCGTCACTTGTCTCAGACAAATCTGGCAACAATTGAGTTTTTATCCAAAAATCCTCACATGGGCTGGGCCAAGACAAAATGCTGGAGAAATCAACCTGCGGAACGGAAAAACCAGGAGATCGTGAGGAATTTGGATTGCGCCTCGGCAACACCGAATACGAATTGGGGAGGTCGCGAGTCAGACGCCTTACCGTACACCGGTTACACCGAGGCTCACCGAATTCTAAGTGGGATGCCGATGACCTTGCATTCGTGGTAGCACATCTGCTGTCTGCCTACTTAACTTCACAGGCTTTTTCGGCATGTGTATCACCCTGAGATGGGTGAAATCTCATGTCATCAATACAATTGTGACAGTGTGTTACCTGATTGGATCCTTCTTGTCCCCCCCTAGGCACAGTCCTTAGCAATGGTTTGTGGCTGATCTTCCTTTCCTGCCTTGTATTTCGAGCAGAGCCTCAAACCTTAAGCACTTTCCTGCTACCTCTATCCGGGAGCTCTTTCCGTGTTAATTGCCAATTTGGATAAGCAAAATTCGCAGCGGAAGGTACACGTCTGCTGCAACTGCATTCCGAGTTCGACAACAGCAGGAAGCCACGACCCGCTCTGGGCCATTGGCCAATCAAATATGATTCAGGATGGGAAAGGGCACGTGATCTGCCACTGCCAAAGCAATCATGGGAAGAGGCCCCTTCCTGCGCGGGACGACAGGGGTACGTACAGGGATGGCGACTTCCATCCTTCCAGAGGTGTTCCTGCCCCGCCCGGGCCTAAGACGCGAAGACTAATTGCTTCTCGTCCCGTCGCGTCTCAATAATTACGACTGTCTAAACCGCCACGATCCGCTTAGAGCTGCTTGACGAAATCTAGGCTCGCTCGTGCACAGAACTTCATGAATCAGATTCTTGGTCAACATCACCTGCACTTCGGCCTTAGCTTCTGTAGTGTCGACCTACGGTAGCTTGCCTCACATGTCGACCACATTGGCTTAGTCACCGTTCACGTCACTCACTACCAATCTTACGATGCCCCGAATCAAGATGGAGGGCGTCAAGGCTGAGCCGCCGAATGCCAACTTGCACGAACTGCCCAGAGTTCCCGATACGGTCCTGCAGCAGTCGGCAGGAAGTTCAAACCCTTCAGCATCTACCACTGTCCCATCTTTGGCAACTGCCCAACCCAATGCTTCTCTTCCTCATATCAAGCCTGAACCGGGCTCTGCGGCATTCGTCAAGGAAGAGCAAGCCGACCCCATTCACAACCCCGCCAACCCACCCAACGAAAGTCTAGCTTCTGTCGAAGAACCTGAGTCACCTACCGTTCAAGATGAAGTCCTGGGTTTCCTAGAGCAATGGACAACAGAAACCTCCCCTGAGATCCTTGAACGAGGCGTCAAGATCGGCTTAGAGGTCCTCGAAAGCCTCAAGGTTCCCCTCAGCCTCACCGCTTCCCTCCCAGGCACGCAGGCTATGACATGGGTCAGGGCAATCGAGGACCTCAAGGCCCGCTCTCGGCCGTCCAAAACCATTGTTGGTGTCGTGGGCAACACAGGTGCCGGCAAGAGCTCTGTCATCAACGCCCTGCTCGACGAGGAGCGACTTTTACCGACCAATTGCTTGCGCGCCTGTACCGCTTCGCCTACTGAGATCTCCTATAACGACTCCGAAAACCCCGAGGAGCTCTATCGCTCAGAAATAGAGTTTATTTCTGTCGAGGACTGGAAGAAGGAGCTCAAGACTCTGTTTACTGACCTTCTCGACGATAGCGGGAACATTTCACGCGAATGCGCTAACGAAGATAGCGAGGCAGGCATCGCCTACGCCAAGATAAAGTCTGTCTACCCTAACAAAACAAAGGAGATGATTGCTCAGAGCGACCCTGACCGTTTGGTCAATGAGCCTGCTGTCGCCCGTGTTCTTGGCAGCGTCAAAAAGCTGCGAGCAACCACCGCGAAGGACTTGTACGCAAGCATGCAGCGTTATGTGGATAGCAAGGAGAAGAATCCGCACAAGAAGGACGTTCCCATGGAGTTTTGGCCCCTGATCAAAGTTGTCCGGATATTCACAAAGGCAAACGCCCTGTCTACTGGTGCCGTCATTGTCGATCTTCCTGGTGTCCAGGACTCCAACGCAGCTCGTGCTGCTGTCGCACAGAACTACATGAAGGCATGCACCGGTCTTTGGATTGTTGCTCCTATCAACAGAGCCGTCGACGACAAGACAGCCAAATCACTACTGGGTGATTCGTTCAAGCGCCAACTCAAGTACGATGGTATCTACTCGGCTGTCACGTTCATCTGCTCCAAGACAGATGATATCTCAGTGACTGAGGCTGCTGAAAGTCTTGATATTGAATCTGATATCTCTGCTTCTTGGTCCAAAATCGAGAAGCTACGTGGCGAACTTCGAGGGCTCAAGCGAAAGCTCAATGACGCCAGGGAAGAGAAGTCGGACCTCGTCGACAG